AAACTTGTTTATAACCGATGAATTTCATACCAAAAGTCTAGATCAATAATGTTCGTAGACTATGATACATTTTTCTCTAGCACTAACTTATACATTTTCACAATTGCTCAACAAATTGACTAACATGTTTTCCTTTTTTTTATAACCGATGAATTTCAGACCAAAAGTATAGACTAATATCATAATGTTCGTAGACTATGAAAAGCAGAGCATTTTTGCCATTTAAATCATATACAATCAGGCCCGTTTCTAGTGTTTAGGAGGTCTAAGGTAAAAAAAAATTTGGAGCCCCAAAATGTACTGTTAAAAGAAATTTTGAAACTCAAAATTAGTGTAGATAATAATATCAAACTCAAATCACTATAGAAAATTATATAATTTACCATATTTTAAAAATTTGGGGCCCCAAAATTTTGTAATATCAAGGGGCCCTAAAGCCAATGATTCAAATTATGTCAGGTGGGCACGACCCTGTATACAATGTTAAGAGGTATACTTCAAATATGATAAGGTAAAATCAGAAGAAAAAAAAGCGTGTAAGAGGTAATATGGCTCTGTATACAATCTTAAGAGGTACACTTCAAATATGATAAGGTAAAATCAGAAAAAAGCGTGTAAGAGGTAATATAGTACGAAGCTAATAAATTCAAATTGCAATGAAGACGACATTACTTACAGATGGTAGGGTTCGGCGTACACGGACGACCACTCATGTTCATGCGCATGCCAATGCGGCAATACCTCAACCATTAAGTAGCTCAATATTTTCATTTACGTTAGAGGTCGACCTAAATACAATAAATTTGTATGTAATTGTTCATCACCATATATGTTTTGTTTCTTTCCCTTGCGACATAGCATAACAGTGTAACTCTTCTTTGTCAACAGTGTCTGTTTTGTTTTTCTTCAGAGTGAGTGATACATCATACATGGTACTAATTACTTTGCAGAGTAGAATTTTTTTTTTTGGGTCGACATTAATTACTAGAAATATTTTACATATTGTTTATAATACATTCGAGAATCAGGTGATGATACATAGTTTGAGTTCAATAAGCTAGCAAGTAGCATCCTTGGCCAAGGCATCGGTTTCTTGATTTACCTCTCGAGGAATCGCCTTGAATTTGAAATCGCATTCCATGTTCAATAGTTTCGAGTATCCTCACAGTACGTTGCAATTTTCATAGGATATTCTATTTTCTACATTAACGTTCACATTTTAGTTTTAAAACTGGATTAAATTTAGTTATTTGACATAATGAAAATAAACACCCAAAAACTAAAGTCTTATCTAATGTCTATATTAATCAACTCAAGCATGGTAGTTTAATGGTTTAATCATTCACTCTAGCTAGGGTTGGAAGATCATGGTTTGAATCTTTCGACTCTGAGATTAATTATGGTTGGCCATTGTATACTTCTTAAGTGGCAAAAATATCTGAATTAATACACATCTTGGATATTAGTTTTTATTTTAGCCTTAAGAAAAAAAATTAAAAGTTAAATTACATTTGATCTTATGTGATTCGAGGTGAATTAGTCTGACCCGTCTACTGCAATTCTTTATAATCATAATATTTTATTTTTTAGTAAATTCATAATAGTATTCAGTTAATATGTCAATTCACAACAATCTATTAATAATTTTTTTAGTTAGTCAAGTCCATAATAAAATTCTTATAGCACCTCTATTGCTAAGAGCCTCATTATCGGTGAGACTATAAAAAGTCTCATATAATTAAAATAAAATAGAAAAAAAAAGAAAATGCACTTTCCAAGATTGAAACGTCTCATGTGGCCGAGACGGTTGAGACGTATCAAGTATCTTAAACATTAAAATTAATAATAAAAATTGTTTAAGAGACCTTACGAGTATCAGTGATAATATTGCTCTAAGAGACTCAAAGAATCTACCAAATATATTATTTTAATAATTTTAGTTATTTATTATTAAAAATATATTAAATTAAAGAGATGTGCATAAATGTTATATGAGTATCTTAAAAAAGTGGTAGGAGTCTCTCATTTCATGTATACCTTTTTGTTACTGCATATTTTTTATTTGGTGAGAAACTCATTCAAGATACTCCCACTAGGAGTGCTCTTAGATGGTAAAACCTTAGTTTCAAATAATTTCTTTTTAAAAATATATATACTTTCAAATATGTTTCAATATTATGCAAAAACAATATTCACCTCGTATATGGGTTGATTTTGAGAATTACTTAGTAAAAACATACTTTTGAGGTTTTGATAATGATTGTCCCCCTCCACTTGACGACTATATACTAAACTCTCCACCTTTGTCTCTCTTCCACATCTCTACTACAAATTAAAGCTCATAAGAAATAACCTTTAAAGTTCTTCCATTTCTTGCACTTTTTTTTCCTTCCTTTCTTTAAATTTCTATATTGTGGCCGGACTCACTAAGATATATACAATAAACTACTCAATGCCAATGGCACCGGAGGAGAATGGCTCGTGCGAGCCGTGCAAGACTTTTGGGCAAAAATGCAGTCATGTCGTGAAGAAACAAAGAGCCAAGTTCTATATTCTTCGCCGTTGTATTGCCATGTTAGTCTGTTGGCGCGACCGCGACCATCATGAGTCTTGATTGTTGTCTTTATGATAAACTATTTTCTTTTCCGAATCAGCGTTCTATTTTTCTTGTTATTGGGTAGTCGTCTTCATATTTTTAAAATAATATATGTATGATTATGTGCATAAGTAAAATTAGAAAATATTAGATTGTCTTCGTGTTTGTTTTGTTGATTCAAATGGGTAGCTTTTGAATAAGTTTTAGTGTCAACTTCATTTTACGTTTTACTATTTTTTTCAAGATTGATATAAACATGATTAGCTCAACTATTTTCGGAAAAATGTACATGATGATCAAATCTATGCTTTATTACGACATTTTCTCTTAGAAAAAAAATGTATTTGCAA